CGCAATATCAAAATATAAACGTATATGCATTGTTGATTCTATGCAATACTTGTATTTACGCATGAAATCGTGATTTGATATACGCCATTTAAGCCTTACGCATTGTCGAATATACGCTACGTATATATACGCCATGTTTAAGTATCTGCATCGTTAAGGTATGCACAGTGTAAACGTTTAGGCCGTGGGTATGCGTTGTCATGCATGTGGTTGCTTGGACCAACCACCCATTTTCATGAGTGTGCGTGTGCGCGCATGGATCACGTTTACACGTTTGGCATAGACGAATTAACCTTTTTCCACAAATGCGTAACGTATCTACCACAAATGCTTAACGTATTTACCACAAATTCTTAACCCTATTACTATGAATGCCTAACCTGTACATTCCGTTCTGACAGGTGGCGATCACGGCAATGGCTGCGTTGAGCTCAGTGTATAATAAAATCGAAGGCAACAAGCAGCGCAAAACTGTAGGTATGTCGTCCCTGTGCCTGTTTCCAGTCACTGTCTTATCCGCCCCTTTATTGTCCACTGCTTCGTTAGTTAGCTCTGCATCAGCAATGAGTCATTGGTGGTGTGCAGTGGTTGACAGTTCAGTCTTCTGTCGTGCAGTGTGTACTTGTTCTTTATTGCACCGGTTGTTCAATGCATGCGTCATCCTATCGGCATACGTACAGAATTGCATCTGTGCGGGAGCCTGTTGGAGGCACTTATTCATTTGGATGTATTGGTGCATACTCCTACACATATGCAGACAAGCGAGATGATCATGTGCGTGTTCAGGTGAAGCTATATAGTACATGCATTCGGATGTATTGGTGCATACTCCTACACATATGCAGACAACTCCTACACATATGCAGACAAGCGAGATGATTATGTGCGTGTTCAGGTGAAGCTATATAGCAGATGCATTCGGATGTATTGGTGCATACTCCTACACAAATGCACGCAAGCGAGATGATTATGTGCGTGTTCAGGTGAAGCTATAGTACATTAGTAGTGTAGGACATATTGGTCCATCGACTGGGCACATTGATTTACCTTCAGATCTGAACGTCTCACGGGTCATACGGTATTTGGCTGCGCAGATGCATACGTTGAGAGGTGCGTTGTATATCTCTTCGACCAATCTATTGTGAGCAGTCTCGACATGCATACGATTTCCCCATGGTATATAAAAACGTTTCTCATTATTTCCCCATGGTATTTAAAAACGTTTCTCATTATCTCCCCATGTTATGTAAAAACGTTTCTCATTATTTCCCCGTGGTAAAAAGGTTTCTCATTATTTCCCCATGGTATATAAAAACGTTTCTCATTGTTTCCCCATGGTATATAAAAACGCTTCTCATTATCTCCCCATGGCATTTAAAAACGTTTCTCATTATCTCCCCATGATACCATGTCCTGTCAACTGCAGCCGACGCAAAGACGACAGATGCCACAGACTCTTCCGTGAACACGGTGAGAGGCATACCTACTTCAACTGGCCAATCGGAACCAATACATCAGACAGCTATAGATCATACAGTAAGTGCAGTGGTAGCGATGCTAAACGCAGTGGCTTTAGTAACTTGAAAAGGTGCACATCTGCGATTGCAAATCCTGAGAGTTGATTGGAGAACAAAGACGAGACTGAATATGTGTGAGAGTGCATCTACCTATATGTGCATGACTATTTATAGCCCGTGTAATATCTTATTTATAGTACGTGTATTGTTCTATTCATCGCCCGTGTAATATTGTATTTATAGCCATGTAATAAACTATTTATAGCCCGTATTATATTACATTTATAGCCTGTGTAGAATTCTATATATAGCCACGTAATAAACTGTTTATAGACCGTATTCTATTCTATTTATAACCCGTGTAATATTCTATTTATAGCCTGTAAAATATTTTATTTGTAGCCCTTCTCCAGATCCAAGACACCCCCAGCCGTCAAGTCTGCCACCGGTGTAGGGCAGATCACTGATCGCTTGGCCTCCATGGATGTGCTGAGACCGGACACGGTGTTTGAGAACATTCGGTTTATGATAAACGAGAACGAACGCGGACTGCAGCTACAAAGACAGGTAGGTATACGATGGGAAGGAACGCATTAAAGCACAACGATAGCGATATGTATGCACATACGTTTATTGTATACATATATGTGTGTACTATACATACATATTCGTATAATATATACATACATATGTGTATACACATATGTGTGCGACGATATATTCATCCACCGTCTCCGTCGCACACGTATACTTGAATCATGCTAATAAGTATCACGTTTTTATTTTATCCGTTGAAATAAGAAGTATGACGTTTTACTCACCCGTCGAACTAAGAAGTATGACGTTCTACTTTATCCGTTCAAATAAGAAGTATGACGTTTTACTATACCCCTCGAAATAAGAAGTATGACGTATTACTTGATCCGTTGAAGTAGTGCGGAGGGCTGTAGTCCCTGCCAGCTGTGCTGTCCATGCACACGTCCCCACAAGCATGCGCTCTCATCCATTGTATTACATGACCTATGTTATGAAGGACATGTGGTATCGTCGTAGCCACGACCCCCACTACAATACCTCGGATTCTCTATACCTTCAACACGCATTCTCACACACCAACTCACAAACAGTACATGACCATGTATGTGGTGTTGTGTGCTACTTGTGTGTCTATCTAAGGTTGTAGCAGCCGCTCGTCGCTCCATAACGTGAACCTTACTTGCCAGTCACTATATGCCTTGTTCATCAGCCCACAATTCTTCCCACACCATCCCAATACTGAAACTCTACGCTATCGTTGGCGGATTGCAGAATCGGAGGTAACCACATAGCACTCAATGTAGTATCTACTCCAGTGCACTGTGTGCCTAATCCGTCACTGAATGCTTAATCCGTCACTGAATGCTTGATCCGTCACTGAATGCTTATTCTGTCACTGAATGCTTAATCCGTCACTGAATGCTTAGTCCATCACTGAATGCTTAGTCCGTCACTGAATGCTTGATCCGTCACTGAATTCCCCCCCCC